CGGGGTATCATGGTAATGTGTGGGTGGTGGTGTATCATGGTAATGGGTGAGTGGCGGGGTATCATGGTAATGGGTAGTGGCGGGAGTATCATGGTAAATGGGTGAGTGGCGAGGTATCATGGTAATGGGTGAGTGGCGGGTATCATGGTAATGGGTGAGTGGCGGGGTATCATGGTAATGGGTGGTGGCGGGGTATCATGGTAATGGGTGAGTGGGGGGTATCATGGTAATGGGTGGGTGGTGGTGTATCATGGTAATGGGTGAGTGGCGGGGTATCATGGTAATGGGTGAGTGGCGGGTATCATGGTAATGGGTGAGTGGCGAGTTATCATGGTAATGGGTGAGTGGCGGGGTATCATGGTAATGGGTGAGTGGCGGGGTATCATGGTAATGGGTGAGTGGCGGGGTATCATGGTAATGGGTGAGTGTGGCGGGGTATCATGGTAATGAGTGGCGAGGTATCATGGTTAATGGGTGGGTGGTGGTGTATCATGGTAATGGGTGGTGGCGGGGTATCATGGTAATGGGTGGTGTGGGGTATCATGGTAATGGGTGAGTGAGGGTATCATGGTAATGGGTGAGTGGCGGGGGTATCATGGTAATGGGTGAGTGGCAGGGGTATCATGGTAATGGGTGAGTGGCAGGTATCATGGTAATGGGTGGGTGGTGGTGTATCATGGTAGTGGGTGGGTGGTGGTGTATCATGGTAATGGGTGAGTGGCGAGGTATCATGGTAATGGGTGGGTGGTGGTGTATCATGGTAATGGGTGGTGGCGGGGTATCATGGTAATGGGGAGGGTGGCGGGGTATCATGGTAATGTGTGGGTGGTGGTGTATCATGGTAATGGGTGAGTGGAGGGGTATCATGGTAATGGGTGGGTGGCGGGGTATCATGGTAATGTGTGGGTGGGAGGGTATCATGTGTGTGTGTGTGGGTGTGGCGGGGTATCATGGTAATGGGTGAGTGGCGGGGTATCATGGTAATGGGTGAGTGGCGGGGTATCATGGTAATGGGTGGGTGGCGGGTATCATGGTAATGTGTGGGTGGTGGTGTATCATGGTAATGGGTGAGTGGGTGTACTAGACAGGGTGTGGGTGGGTGTACTAGACGGGGTGTAGGATTTGGTGTACTGGGCGGGGTGTGGGTGGGTGTACTAGACAGGGGTGTAGGTGGGTGTACTGACAGGGTGTGGGTGGGTGTACTAGACAGGGTGTGGGTGGGTGTACTAGACAGGTGTGGGTGGGTGTACTAGACAGGGTGTGGGGGTGTACTAGACAAGGTGTGGGTGGGGTGTACTAGACAGGGTGTGGGTGGGTGTACTAGACAAGGTGTGGGTGGGTGTACTAGACAGGGTGTGGGTGGGTGTACTAGACAAGGTGTGGGTGGGTGTACTAGACAAGGTGTGGACGGGTGTGTACTAGACAAGGTGTAGGCAGGGTGTGGGTGGGTGGTAAGACTGAACACAAGTGGGCCAGCTGCCACACACTAGACAGTCCCAGCTTGCCTGTCGATCAATACTCTGTACGTTGCAGCCGCTGCTCTGCTGCTGTTGGTGGAGGTGTACTGTTGTTGGTGATGGTGGAGTAGTGTTGTTGTTGGTGGTGGAGTACTTTGGTGGTGGAGTACTGTTGGTGTTGTTGATGGTGTAGTACTGTTGGTGTTGTTGATGGTGTAGTACTGTTGGTGTGTTGTTGGTGGTGGAGTACTGTTGGTGTTGTTGATGGTGTAGTACTGTTGGTGTTGTTGATGGTGTAGTACTGTTGGTGTGTTGTTGATGGTGTAGTACTGTTGGTGTTGTTGATGGTGTAGTACTGTTGGTGTGTTGTTGTTGGTGGAGTACTGTTGGTGTTGTTGATGGTGTAGTACTGTTGGTGTTGTTGATGGTGGTACTGTTGGTGTGTTGTTGATGGTGTAGTACTGTTGGTGTTGTTGATGGTGTAGTACTGTTGGTGTGTTGTTGTTGGTGAGAGTACTGTTGGTGTTGTTGATGGTGGAGTTCTGTTGTTGGTGTTGTCGATGGTGGTGGTGGTGGTGTACTGTTACTGTTGGAGGAGGACTGGTTGTGTACTGTTGTTGGTGATGGTGTTTGTATCGTTTGTTTTTACTGTTGTTTTCTTGACTAATGGTTCTGTGTGTGTGTGTGTGTGTGTGTGTGTGTGTGTGTGTGTGTGTGTGTGTGTGTGTCAGTATATATCGCTTTCGTGTGTCTGTGTATATTATGTCTGTCTGTGTGCGTATATTATGTCCGTCTGTGTGCGTATTTACTTTTGCATGCCCTTGTATAATGCGTTCATGTGTTTGTGTAACTTACCGTGAGTGACAAAAATCCAGGTATATATTCCTAGTTTATCACGGTACACTTGAGTCTTCCTCCACGCTCTCTGGATGTGTTAGTGCGAGGTGTGTGTGTATTCCTGTGTGTGTGTGTGTATATGTGTTTGTGTTTGTATATTCTTGTGTTGTGTGTGTGTGTGTGTGTGTGTGTGTGTGTGTGTGTGTGTGGTGACATGTGTAGGTGTGTGAGCATGTGTACTGTAGTAAGAGGCCTACGAGGATATGTAGTCGTGTTCCTGTTCTTTACGACGCCACAACATTATAGTCAACATAACATTGATCTGTGTAACGCGTGACAGGAGTTACACAGGTTACGTAACATGTTTGTGTGTGTACAGAGACAGTGGTTAGGGATCTGTGTCACGCTCCGCTGAGATGACGGTACTAACTAGGAGTGTACTTACAGGTAACGGTACTACCGACACTCACGTAACTTAGCCTTAAGAGTCCACCACTGCCACTTTATCTGTGTGTTGTTGAGTGTGTTGTCTTGTGAGGGACTTGTACACCGAGGCACTATGTTGTGTCACGCACCACATTAGGGCACAGCCACGGCCGCTGTGTCCTGCCAACTATGGACCTTACAATATGTTGGTGTAGAAGCTGAGTAGAGTAGTGCCCGGGCTCCCTGACAACACCAGTCATGACTAGTGTGCCCAAGACCTTCCTTATTGGGAGCAGCGGGGAGGAGCACAAGGAGATGATCAAGATGATGGTCCTCTCCTGCCCCTCCTGCACCAGCCCCGCCCACCCAGGTACGTGACCCGCCCCTTCTACACCAGCCCCGCCCACCCAGGTGAGTTATAGTTAAGAGCAGTAAACCCTGGTGAAGTCACAACAACCTCACACATGTGCAGGTGAGGCATGTCACTTTCTTTGTGTGTGTGTGTGTGTGTTTGTAATAACAATCATAATAGCTACCTATCTCATGAAAACTACTGTATCCATAAGCTTAAAATATCTTAAAGACATTATTGGTAACATAAATAACTTGGAGGAGAGGGTTGTTTAAAGAGGAATTTCAGCGTGCTCATAGTATAACAGGGAGACTGGCAAGGAGGGAGACCACTAGTTATCTACGAGGTGTTGATGAGTTTTGCAATGGTTGGCTCGGGGCTGTTCTTATAGTGATCAGTACATGGTCGTACGGGCTGGATACGGTTGTGGTGTTGAGGAAATTTCAGGTAGTAGCAGCTTAGTCCCACAGTGTCAGGAGTCTTCTTTGTGCGGCATTTAGGGAAGAAGATTCGGATGGGGGAGTAAGGGTGAGGTTAGGTGTATGAATGTTGGGTTAACATTCAAGAGTTCAGGCGCGGCAACTCTGAGGGACTAGAGACGACGTAGGAGGTCGTAACGATAGCAAGAAGGTATGACGGTTGTACTGCCGTGTGCTTTACAGTTCAGTTGGACGAGGAGGAGCTTGGTGGCATCTACAACCTGGAGTGTGTTGGAGCCCAGTGTGGTGGAGGGAGGTAGTACATGGTCGGCTGAGAGGTTGATGAGCATAACCATGGTCCTGGTATGATTGATGGTGACATGGTTGGTGGTGAACCAATCTTGGAGACTGTTCGGTATATCCTGGAGGGCCCTGTAGTCGAGAGCCGGGCTATTCACACTGATTGTAATGGTGGTTTCGTCGACATATTTCCAGCGAGCGGGAGTACTGTATCTTTCAGGGCATTATTGATGAGGGCTAAGGAACCGAGCGGTACCATCTTGGTGCCTAGGGGGACGCCACAGGTGAATGACAAAGGTGGAGACAGCCCCTCGGAAGCGTGCAGCCTGGCGTCGGAGTGTGTGTGTGTGTGTGTGTGTGTGTAATAATAATAATAATTAACCGTTTATTGAAAAGCACAGTAGCTAGAGGTTAAGAATATCCAATGGACAAAAATGACATACAGTATTAGGCCTAGTGACATGGGGGGAGGGGGGGATTATATAACAAAAGCTTTCACTGATAGGTAGGTGTGTGTGTGTGAGTGTGACAACAGTTCACTGAGCTGTGGTGGCGGAGTGTCTAAACCTTCTTTATCGATCACGGTACTGATGGTTCGTGAATTAATGACGTTAACCTTGTACCTGTGTTATAGTGCACACTGTAGAGGTGGATAGTGTGTGTGTGTGTGTTCTTGGTATTTCTCTCACATTTTGCTGACCTTTGTATCTCCACACGCCTGACAATGCTAATGACACCACTGGCAGTTAGGGCTGACGAGGGGGGGTGGCAGTGAGGAGGAAGCCCTTTGGTGAGGAGGTAAAGGAAGGGAAGGTCTGGGGAGGGGAGGAATAACCTGAGGAAGGAGAGGGGAGATGAGGGGTGGAGAGTGAGGGTTGTAGAGAGAGAGACCTCAGGTGTGGGTGTGTGTTGCCTGATGTATTTCAGCCCCCACACACACACGGCCTTCCGTAACCTTTTGATCTTCTTCATTATTTAACATTAGAGAAGTCGACGCCGCCCAGGACAGATCACGTATACGCCCCCTAGTGTGGCTAAGAGATAACTCACTCATTCTCTCTCTCTCTCTCCTAACACTGTAGGAGAGAGAGAGAGAGAGAGAGAGAGAGAGAGAGACAGACAGACACTGTTAAGGTCGTGAGGGGGTGGATCACTGGACTGCCTCCCCCCCATCCCTGCCGCCTGCTGCTGTCAGTAACATTTCGTAGTTGTCGTGCCTTACGCCCACACGTGTGTCGCGCCCACGCAGTCTTCCTACACCTGTTTGCCCACACGCCCACACCCGCGACACACTCCCACTTCGAGACACTCCCACACACCCTCCTCGAGACACACCCACACACCCTCACCTATGGTCCTCCAGCCTCTGGTCACACTCCGTCCTACACGTTACCCTCCACCGTAACTCTTCGTCCCGGGTGAAGGCTTTGGTGGTGTCGCGTTGTCCTGCCTCAAGGTGTGTCTGTCTGTGTGTTTAACTGAGACATGACCAGTGAGGAAGAGGAGAGACGGTGAGGATAGTAAAATGAAGTAAGGAGTTTTGGCTGCTGGGGAGACTTGACCGCACGCGACCTGTAGTTGTAACATATGTTGATGAGCGAAGTGCCGTTCACTGTTTCGTAAAGTGTAGCCTCGTTGTGACCCCCCACCACCGTGATCACTTGGCTCACCTGTAGTGATGTTTACCTGTAGTGTGGTGCAGGTGACAACTACATTATGGGTTTGGGGTGTGTTGGTTTAAGGTGGCACTCAGTTATATGTTTATGTGGTAGAACCGCAGAGGAGGTGATGTTGTAGTGGTCTGGGGGTCAGTTTAGGGCCATGCTGGGTGTGGCCAACTCTCAGTATGTCAGTGAAGAGGACAAAGTGACGGTGTACCTGGAAGATGATAGCCCTCCCCGTCCACCTCCCCGTCCACCGCGATGGTTTCCCACCCTTGACCCGTCCCACCTGCCTCTTCCACCCTCCTCCTCCTCCACACTCCTCTACCCCGCACACCAGGAGGCAGAAGGTGAAAGTGTTGTCCTGCCACAGGGTGCACCTCGCTTCACCACCACAGGTTCCCTTCACTGCCACACCCAAGATGGACGCTATGGTTCTCAGTATGACCTTGACCCCGTCGAACTTGACCAACAGTATTATAGGTCACACTGCGGGGATGACACACAACTACAGTATCTTGGTGACGGTGACTTTAGCAACAGTAGCGGCATCTTCCCCCTGGATGTGCATGATGAAAGGTTGTGTATGGATGACCACATATTGTATGAGCCTGGCGTTGTGCATCACCCAAGTGAGGCCACAACTCACCTCAGCCACACGCAGCATCAGCACCTTGCTTACCCAGCCTATGACAGTGTTGGGGTAGAGGTCGGGCTGTATCCCACCTACGAGAATGTGTATGTGCAGGTGGGGGAGTACCTGGTGTCGAGGAGTGAGGCGACACACGCTCCGGTCAACAAGTACGCGGTGGAGGACGAGGCTCAGGTCTTACATGATGTACTGCCTTTCCTCGATAACATTGATGATGCGGAGAGCTTATACCGCCAAGGTCAGTTCCCCCAAGAAACATCATTCTGGCTGCATCAAGAGGCTGCAGTGCCTCTTATGTTGCAACAGAATGGGTTGGCAACATCGGATTTTGAGGGGAATGGGAATGAGCGCAACAGTGTGCAAGCTGTGGTGGATGAATCTCTAGCAGGACTGGACAACCCAGCGCTGGAACACTCGGAGGAGACTCAGGCCCACGTGGACCGGCTGGCCCTGGCTCTCGGTGACAACATACGCTCACAGATTGACAACACACTCGCCCGAATTGACAACACCAGGACCAAGTTCAACCAACAGCGGCGACCCTTCAGCAATGGATGTGTCTCTACCACAGATCCGGTTATCAAAACACCGCTATCAATACACCGTAAGAGTGACGAGCGACACCTCTCGGATAATGACACCCTGCCTCGTGCATTACACCATCCGCTGTTGAGGGAGTCGCTGAGGGCTAATGTGTTGTCAGTGACGGATGGGTCCACGTTGGGTAAATGTGAGGTGTCAGGCTTGATGGCCATGGATAGTGAGGCTGACAGTGACAGTGTGGACAATGGGCCAACAACAACAACAACAACAGGTGAAGGTGAGGCCCCACTGGCTCGTCAGGAGACCATGATGGAAAGTGTGAGGGAGTATGACGACTTGAGCATCACCACACTCCTCACCATGGACACCACCACCCCTCACCACACACCACCACACAACTCTCTCCAGTCACTCAAGTCCCTACAGTCCCACAAGTCCCGGAGGTCGTGGGTGAGCGTCACCTTCCGGGGCTCCTCCGTCTCCTCCCCTGTCATCTGCCTTGATCACCACCACTCTACTGTCTCAGGTACCATCATACAGTACTCGTATCTCAACAAACAAGGGAGTAACCTAACCTAACCTAACCAAGTGTCGTTATCAAATCTCCTTTAATAAAAATCGTTTCCACAGACGTCTCTCTCTCTCTCTCTCTCTCTCTCTCTCTCTCTCTCTCTCTCTCTCTCTCTCTTGGTCAGCGAGATGAGACTCATATCACTTGTTACCCAGTGAACACCTCACTTAAGTGTTCTCCTATTGTGCACTAAGACACTTCCCTTAGCAGAGAAGGTACAAGACGTTGGTATTAGAGTTTATTCAGACGTATGAGATAGTGCTTAAGCTGGTGTGTGTAGTGAAGTCACGTATCCCAAGACTTGCGTGTTTTAATAATGGCAGTTTGTGTTGACAGAGTGACTGCTTAACGTCCACCTGTGTGTGTGTGTGTGTGTGTGTGTGATATTTCCACCTTATCAGTGTTATGTTTCGTCAGGTTGTTACTGTTATCATTCTCTAGTTGTGTTATCCCACCAGTCATTGTGTAAGTATTTCGGCAATCATACTATTGTCACCACTGTAATGTTGGATACTCCCACCATTATCACCACTAATGCTGGATACTCACCATTGTTACCACTGTAATGCTGGATACTCCCACCATTGTCACCACTGTAATGCTGGATACTCCCACCATTATCACCACAGTAATGTTGGATAATCACTACTGCTGGCACCAATGTAATGTTGGATGTATCACCACTCACCTCTGTAATGCTTCATCAGAGACTTGAACTATATTTCCTCGGACTCACCTGAATAGTAGGCCGTCCGCCAAGCTTATTTTACCGAATGAATAACCACCCTAATACTTCCCTACTCTTGGTTGTTGTGGTGGTTAATCTTTATGAAATATTCTTAACTTGAGTAGAAATTTAAAGGCGAATTTCCTCTTTTCTCCAGGTGATGGCAGAGAAATAACACTATATAGGAAAAAAAAATCTGTTTATGTTATTCGTGGTAAGGAAACCTAGATGCTACACACTGGTCGAAAGAATTTAATCAACAACACCAAAGGCATAGGCAGGGATAGGCGTTGATTAGAATTCTTAACGTCATTCCGGTAATGTTTGTTTGTATACATGAATTATTAAAACTGTTTCTCCCTCTGGTGTTTGTTCCTCACCCTTGCTATCCGCCTGACAATGAAAGTATAAAGAACGTTAACTTTCTTGCCGTGTACGATCTTTTTGATAGCTTTACTGCCACTTGTATTGTACACCGTGTGATTGACGTGACCAAGTATATACCTGTAGTTCCTAAATGGTGGTGTCGGGTCGTGGTAAGGTCGCACGTGTTTTGATCATTGTATTTTATTAACATTACAAGAGAGAAGGAGGGAGTCCAGTGTTGGAATTTGACGGTAGACAATGAAAACCAGCCAGCCAGCCCGTGCTGTTGCCAGTTACATCAATTGGTTGGTGGCTTTGGTAGGACAGGAAGTCAGATATTGTTTCTTGATACCTGCAGAAATATACTAGTTTATTAAAGTTGAACACACAGAGGAGAAGCACCAGTGTGTGGGTGCTGAGGAGAGTCATCGTCTTTTGGATCACCTGATGATTCTTCGACCCCCTCTCTCCCTCCATCCCCAACTTATTTAACTCCAGGATAAACCACCTTAACTCTAACTTTAAACTTGAGGTGCAATTTTGCATGTGATCCCATCTTGTGTACATAAACCATTGAGTAGGTTATTTTATGTAAGTATAGTACTTCAACTACATACTGCTATTAGGGTTAGTACACACTCTTGTTTACAACGTGTTACTTTTTTACAACTGGTAATATATATATATATATATATATATATATATATATATATATATATAATAATAATAATAATAATAATAATAATAATAATAATAATAATAGCTGAACGTTCATCTCTATCTCAAGTACCTGACTGTTGTGATGTTTAAACAAAACATCACCTTGTAAGTTGATAATAGTCGTGTTTGTATTTCTGTGAGCCAAGCTTGTGGTAGTGTTGTGGCAATCAAGAGTGTGTAATAATAATAATAATAATAATAATAATAATAATAATAATAATAATAATAATAATAATAATAATAATTAATTAACGGTTTATTGAAAGAGCATGGCAGCCTGTGTGGGTGTGTGTGTGTGTGTAAATTGTTACAACATCCTATAAAAATAAACGCTTATCACCACCACCCTTTTTATTCCACCCACAGATGACGACTCCGGTGGGGGTGGAAGTGACGGCGAAGGCGGCATGGGCGGTGGCGTGGGTGGCGGTTTGGGCGGCATGGGTGGCGGTGCGGGCGGGGTGGAGCACCGCACCGTGTATCTCAACGAGCCTCAGCCCCACAAGTACTGCTCCAACGCCGTCTGCACCGCCAAGTACCGCTTCAAGCTTCTCTTCTTCCTTCCCATGTTCCTCTTTGAGCAATTCAGACGCTACGCTAACGTCTTCTTCTTGATCATAGCCCTTCTTCAGGTAGGTACTCACGCCTAAAAGTGTTGACTACCAAGAGTGACCACAATACTCCCCTCCCCCTCGCCGCAGGTAAATTCCAGTGGCCGTAACTCTGGAAAGTAAAGTACTGATTGATCGAACTCGTCTGAGAGGTCATGTTGTGGTCTACATATTTCTGGTTTGAGCTAAAATCTAGACACGCAACACGTACCCTCCCCCCCCCTCCCGCCTGTGTTGGGTAGTTTAACAGTACGAGTTTGTTGCTGGGTTAGGCAGGAAAGTGAGGGAAACTAGCCAGTTGACTAGATTTGGTTAAAATAGGTTAGGTTTAGTCAGGGCATGATACGTTACGTCAGGTTACTATAAGTTAGGTTTGTTTAAGATAGGTTGGGTTTGGTTGAGATAGGTTAAGATTGCTTGGGTTACTATGTATTAACAGAGTTAAGGTTATGATAGGTTTGGTTAGGTTGGGTTTAGGATAATATAGGTGAGGTGATTTGACCATTAATAATCCCGTGGTACACTAGACAAAAGACGAGTGATGATGGAACCACCCCCCCCCTTACTCCCCCGTGATATTAACGCCAAGGAAACACACACCACGTCACACCACGAGTCCATGCCACGCCACATCATACCACACCTTGCCACACTACACTACACCACACCATGCCACACCACAGCACACTACACCATCCACACCACACTATCCACACCACACCACACTACACACACACACAGCCATGACATCATCCTTGCATGATTCATCAGTGTAGCCAGAACATTGATCGAGGGAGAATCCTTCGTGGCTCCAGGGCAGGCGGGAGGATGGTGTCTGGGGCGGCCGTGGGAGTGACGTAGGAAGTGGGGGCTGGTGCAGGATTTGTGGGGGCTGGTGCAGGATTTGTGGGGGTTGGTGCAGGACTTTGTGGGGGTTGGTGCAGGTTGTGGGGGGTTTGGTGCAGGATTTGTGGGGGGCTGGTGCAGGTTGTGGGGGCTGGTGCAGGATTTGTAGAGCTGGGTGCAGGATGTGTGGGGACTGGTGCAGGATGTGTGGGGGCTGGTGCAGGATTTGTGGGGGCTGGTGCAGGATGTGTGGGAGCTGGTGCAGGATGTGTGGGGGTTGGTGCAGGATGTGTAGGGATGGTATAGGATGATTAGAATGGTGTTCAACTGTGTTCTTTTTTCCATTGTTCTCATCGTTGTGTTATGTTCTCCCCGTCTGTTGTTGTGTTCTGAGGATCATGGAGGGAGGGGGGGGGCGTTCTCAGACATTATTCTCTTTTTCTCTCTCTCTCTCTCTCTTTCTCTTTTCACTTTCCCTTTTCACTCTTTTTCACTTTCTCTTCTCACTCTTTCCTTTCTCTCTCTCTCTCTCTTTTTCACTCTTTCTTATTTCTCTCTCTCTCTCTCTCTCTTTCTTCCAAGGCTTCTGTCCCACTTATGCCGAGTGGCTGGAGTGGAGACCAACTATTTATACACATTCTCCCTTTCATGTTTACTGTGTATATATCACCTGCCTCGGTGTTATTGGTGGGGTGGTCGAGAGAAGAAATATCAAGGAATGTCGTTTTTATTGCATTGTTTGTCTACTGGGATTATACTGCTCATTCAGATAGCACTGTATTTAGCCCCAGTTAGATAATTCTACCTAGTCCCAGTTAGATAGTTCTATTTAGTCCCAGTTAGATAGTTCTATTTAGTCCCAGTTAGATAGTTCTATTTAGCCCCAATTAGATAGCTCTGGTCTTAGCCCTCATATCATTAGAGTATTTTAGTGACTGTAAATTAATCATATATGATGTTGAATGTTTCTTGTTTTGCTGTCGCCATTTTTTTTACCCTAGCCAACTGTGCAGGATAATGGGAACAGCTCGGGTGAATAAAAGACTCACTATGTGGGGGGTATGTTGTGTAATGCCTTCCTCCATTAAGCTTTTTTGTGTGTGTGTGTGTGTAATGTTAAGTTTATTTCATATGTTGAGTAAAGACTTTTAAGGTCAGTGTCCAGTTAGATAATCATCCTCGTCGTTTATGTAGAGTTTGGGCTCAGTTGAATACATAGTACGGTAATTTAGGCATAGGGCTACACTATCTACATTGATACTGTATTGTACTGTAGTTTACATTTACCCTGTACTGTATTGTATTAGTTATGTATTGTATTGTGGTTTGTAATTATTTTTTTAATTTACACATGTTTTAGAAATACTGTACTATACTGTACTCTATATTGAAGAAAAATATCTCGCATCATGTGCCATACTGTGGAATGTCATGTTATTATATTCAGTGTTATTTAATCCTGCAGCAAATCCCCGGAGTGTCACCAACGGGTCGATATACAACTCTGGTGCCGCTTATATGTATTCTGGTTGTCTCGGCTATCAAGGAGATCGCTGAGGATATTGTGAGTACTATATACCTCTTGTCATAACACCCCTCTTGGATCCACCTCGCCAGTGACTCGAATCATCGTAGGACTCGTCAGTTCTTTAGCTTTGTGGGGGCTTTAGATTGCCATTTACTCCCAACTTGTGAAATGATTTGGCACCCTGAGTTAAGTGGAGGATAATCTCATCTCTGGGATTTTAGTTTAGTCATATTTGGAAGATCTCTCTCTCTCTCTGTGGCTGTTGTGTTTGGTCTTAATTTTGTTCAGTAGCCATCCATATCAGGCCTCAGACCACTGTATTATCTGCCAGGAATAATTACATTCACTTTCACTCAGTCTTGTTCTTTTCCAGTACAATTTTGTGGCAGGAATCAAGAACTATGTAGATTAACTATCTGCATTTGTTTTCTTTAGTTCTCATAGTAGATGTGGTCTGATAGAGTTTCTAAGTTTATTCCTGTCATTTTCTACAACTCAGCATCACACATCATCTACAGTCATTCCCATAAACCACCCAACACTCCCGTCCACTCCCAGTCATGCATGCAAACTGATGTCTCTTGACTGTCCTCCCCCTACCAGCACCTTCCCCACTCTATTCTTCCACCTCTCTCTCCCTCTCTTTTGAAGTATACACTTGCATTCATCATTGTTTAGTAAGATTTAATTACATTTTACACTGAAAATATATAAAAACCAGTTGGATAAAATTTGCTATCATTACTCCAATACTCATTAATTTTAACCAGGAAATTAGGTGAAAATTTTTGGAGGTCTGATCTTGGCAGGAAGTTAAAAGTGTGATGCTCATTTGTTTGGTCTTTTTTTCCAAGTTGAATATTATATGTGTGCCAAACTTAATGCTATTGGTCACTGTGTTGTTCATCATTTAGAGTGTTTTTATCCTTATCATAATTCCTCACTTTATCTCATTGTCTAATTTAACTTTTACCTCTTAGTGTTTCCATATAGTTATGAAGTTTTACAATGTTGTGTTATTCTGAAATTACTGGTGTTGTTTTTATACCTAGGGATATATTAAGGAGTACAGTATACTAACGCATTATCTATACTTTCTTCACATTCATAGAAACGTCACAGAGCAGATGATGAATTGAATAAACGGGAAATTGAAGTGCTGAAAGATGGACAGTGGCAATGGATTAAGTGGCGACACATTCAAGTGGGGGACATTGTCAAAGTACGCAACAACAAGTTTTTCCCCGCGGACCTTGTCATATTAGCATCCAGGTAAGTCTAAACATTTAACCCACAGTTAGAAATATTAAATTCAGAATGTATAACCTGTGTTGGTCTAGTTACCATCAGGCATGTTGAAGCAAAGTTTTACAGCTGGATGCCCTTAACACACTAACCCATAGGAACACCTGATGAGGTAGGGTTACAACTCCCTGAGGTAATCAAAGTCTTTTGATGGTATGATAAATATTCTGGTGATCAGTCACAGAAAATTCTTGAATCAGTGTTGGATTCTGCCTTAGTTTTTACTGTACCGCAATCTAAACTGTTTTGCTTTCTAGTGAACCCCAGGCGCTCTGTTATGTCGAGACAGCTAATCTTGATGGTGAAACCAACCTCAAAATTCGTCAAGGTCTGCCCCAGACGTCAAACCTTCTGGAAGCACGAGATCTGATGAATTTGTCTGGTAAAGTTGAGTGTGAGGCACCTAACAGATTCCTCTACCAATTTACCGGCAACCTCAAGCAGACAAGTCGCCCGTAAGTACTAATTGGGTGAAGTCTTTAGTGCACAGAGTTGAGGCAAAAACACAGAATATTTGCAGAATTTTTAATCATTTCATAATTATTAAGAATGGATAGTAAAAATATACTGGTTGTAGGGGTGTCATGGAGGATACTAATGGGGTACTGTATCAGGAAGAAATGTTTATATGGGATGAGGAAGAACAAGAAAAGTAAGCACTACTATTTTCGTCCCAGGAAATATAAATTAGATAGTGAATAAAAAAAAAAACTACGTACTGTATAATTAAGTAATGTTAGAATGAAGGATGAAATAATTGAAAAAAAAATATTATGAAGAACAAACCTCTTGGTGAAGTATTTGGATAACCATTTATGTGTTGTTCCCTGCATACAGAGCCACTCCTCTGAGCCCCGACCACGTGTTGCTACGAGGGGCAAAGTTACAGAACACCAACTGGGTGTTTGGGCTGGTGGTGTACACAGGACACGAGACCAAACTTATGAAGAACTCCGCTACCTCAGCTCCTCTTAAGCGCTCTACAGTAAGTAACATCGTGTGAGACCACTGGAGGCAGCTTGTAACGCTTAGATCATAGTTTTCATTCACCATAGGTATATATACAGGTACTTTGTGTGCATTAAGGATTTTACCGTTTAGCTCCGTTGAAGAAATTTATGTAAGGAGTGAGAGACCATACAAGAGATTGGCAGTCAGTGTTTGGTCTGTTAAGGACTAAACATATATGGCTTTAGGAAATGTTGCATCTCTTGCATAGTGGATGTAGTCTTGTCTATGAATAAAAATAGAGCATAAGGTGACAGTCTCAATGAAAAATATAGTTTGGGAGTTCGTAAGGTAATGTATATGAGACATTTATTCGTTATGATGTTAGCACTTTCCTCCAACTAAGACAAATTTTAATTCTCTGATCTCTTCAAGGAATAAAACCTACATGAACTTTTTTTTTCTTATTAGTATATTAGGACTAAGTATGCTCATAGTGTTGTGTATGCTCATAGTGTTGTGTATGCTCATAGTGTTGTGTATGCTCATAGTGTTGTGTATGCTCATAGTGTTGTGTATGCTCATAGTGTTGTGTATGCTCATAGTGTTGTGTATGCTCATAGTGTTGTAAATTAACACATCTCTTCTCACTAAATTTTTCATAGTTGTACTTAATTTTTTTTTCCCTGCAGCTCTGATACAAAATCCATGTCTGTCTGCCCTCTTCCTCCACAAGCACACCAACATAATAGTCTCCTTCACTTTAATACAGTACCTTGACTACAGTTAATACACCAGAGCATTAGACCTTTTGTAACATTTTATATCTTCATTACAGGTGGACAAGCAGACCAACAACCTGATCATCCTACTGTTCTTCTTGTTGATCGTCCTCTGCCTGATCATGGCCGTGTGTAACTCACAGTGGGACGCTAAACTCCACTGGTACCTCTCCATTGATGGTACGTCCAGCACACCAAGACCCAGGTGTACTGTATTATGTTGAAGCTCTTGTGTGTGTCATGTTAAAGCTCCTTCATCCTCCTTGGTGTATCATGTTAAAGCTCCTTCATCCTCTTTGGTGTATCATGTTAAAGCTCCTTCATCCTCCTTGGTGTATCATGTTAAAGCTCCTGCACCCTCCTTGGTGTATCATGTTAAAGCTCATGTATACACTCAAGCCCATTAATTCTTGGGTCAAAAGGCCAACCTCTAAGCTCTCTCTGAGTTTGTTATGCCATTTTGCATTACTCGTGATGACTAAGTAGAGTTGTTTTAGTGCCACCTGTTGCTTCTTCAATCACGGATCTCTCTTTTTGCCCTTGCTTCGTCCTGACTAATTCAACATAATCTTAACTTTGTATTTACCGGTACTCACCATTATCATCATCTTCGTCACCATTATTGTCACCACCATCATTATCACCATTATCATCTACTGTAATCACAATGGTTAAATATTTTGAACTGACAATATTTTCTCCCGTTCCAGACTTGAGTGTGTTCAACTTTGGCATTAACTTCATCACATTTATCATCCTGTTCAACAATCTTATTCCAATATCCCTCCAAGTGTCTCTAGAAGTTGTCAGGTTTATTCAGGTGAGTTGATTACATGTTACCTTTATCATAGTTTCTTCAGCTCAGGTGGTATACAGGTGTCTCCTGGAAATTCATTTGAGTGGAAAAATATGCATTGAATGGAAGAGCCTGTGTATTATTGGGGGTTATGTTCCAAGAAGGGAAAGTGTTGGTCACACAAAGTTCACTAAATATCCTGTAAAAATAAAAATACAGAATAATTTATGTACATTAGAGTGCATTTGCATCTCTGCTCATCCTGGATGACCATCTTGACTGCATGACTGATAAAAGTTTTGATTCTTATAAAGAAGAGAAAGCTTTCAAAATCTGACCCGATAAAACTAATTTTGTTTTATTGGGTACTGTATACAGTGACGTGTGTTAGGATTTGTATATTATTGTTTTTTATATACTGACTGGTTAAGATAATATAAATACAGTATCAGAGGCTCAATGTAAGTTGGCAACTGGTGAATTTTGCTGACAAAAGGTGTTTTAATTACCTCACATGTGGGGCCTTGCAGATCAACAAGTGAGGACAATATTACTGTTGTAATACAAACATTCACACGACCTCCACGAAAATCTGTACATCGGTGTTTGTACGTAATTTCTTGACACTACATATTTGAGGAAATTGCAGGTAAACTTAATCCACAAAGATAATGTTCTTTAAGTTGTGTGGTCATGTTTTTCTGTTGCTCTCTCAACTTGTTTTGCACCAGAGAGAAAGAGAAAAGTAGAGAGACAAACAAAGAGAGAGAGAGAAAGAGTGAGTACTGTAAATACGTATATTGTTGGTAGCCCAGGTAATGAGTTAACTAAGATACCCTCAACAGGCTGGGTTCATCAACAATGATACCAATATGGTGTATGAGGAAAACGACATCTGGGCCATGGCCAGAACGTCTAACCTGAACGAAGAGTTGGGCATGATCAAGTACGTTCTCTCTGACAAGACCGGCACGCTCACTTGCAACATCATGGAGTTCAAGCGCTGTAGCATCGGTGGAACTGTCTACAGCATGGATGATGGCAGGTAATGTTGGTGTTCATGCCAGAAGTTACTAATTTTTCAGCATTTAATTTCCATGTTGTAGCTACAGACTTGTTTTACATATTTTAGGGAGGCTGTTGTGTATTCAGTCAACACACTTATAATTTACCAGGTTACCCAGTCGGTTCTACCCTTAATGTTTACCTCTAGTGAACTTAACTCTATTTTCTTCTTCTTCCCTCTAGTGAAACCTTGATCTACAACATTTTGAAGCTTCTTACCAACCAATGATGGATGTTTGCCTTTCATCTATCAGTCACAGACAAAGCTACATTTTCTTCTGATGTCTTATTAAATTAATTATATTTGTCATGTTGTTCCTGTCATCTCTTCCCTTACTTACGGTCAGCTAGAACAGTTTATTGCACATGATACTGATGTATTGCTGCATATTTGTGTGTGAGCATTACTCAAATATCAAGGTTTTGGTATTGGGTTAGTGCAGCTAACCCACTCAAGTGTGGAAAATGGCTGTAAAACAGTAATGATGATGACCTTTGTATTAACTATAGTCATTGTGGCTATTTGAAATTACCTGACAGTTGATTGACTGTTGTATTTAACTTATTATGTGAGGCATCACAGGTAAATGACTGCTTAATCCATATGTACTTCTGCATTGGCATGTAAAATAAGTATAACATCCTTTATCAAATTAACAAAAGCATATATTGTGCACTACCCAATATATGCAATATATGTTAATGCACCAGTTGCTACAAGTAATGATACCCATAACTGTCCGCAGTTGTCAAGATCTGGTCACCTTGGTGGAGAGCGGAGGAGCTGGAGCATCTGTGGCCCGGCAGTTCCTCACCATGCTGGGAGTGTGCCATACTGTCATCCCCGACAGAGATGAGTCTCGTGGGGACGGCTCCATCATCTACCACGCAGCATCACCAGGTACTGTACTGTGCTGGTCAGTGATGTAGTGGAGATCACAAACATTTATCTGTTATTAAAAGTAATTATCAGGGTATATGCTTCCATGTTTACTACATTCATCTTCCAGCAAAATAAACCTAATCTATCCATATGTACTTTAATGCAACCGAACTACCAACCTTACCTATTGTAACCTAAGATAATCCAACCTAAACAAACTACAAGTCTTATCGAATGTAACTCTAACCTACCCTCTGTAATGTAAGCCTAACCCAACCTTTCCAGGGATCTTATGCATTTTGTTCCTGTGTGATTCCTTAACACACTATTTGATTTCCTTTACAATGTGTTCAGTTAATAACAGGTTCATTCTGTCCAACACATCACAACCAGTAAACAGAATGATCACTATGAATATTGACTCGACAGATGAGCGAGCGCTAGTGGAAGGCGCACGGGAGTTGGGCTTTGTTTTTGAGACGAGAACGCCAGAATGCTGTATAATTGATGTTTTGGGCTCCAAGGAACAGTACGAAGTCCTCAACGTGCTGGAGTTTACTTCTGCACGCAAACGGATGAGCGTCATCGTGAAGACTCCTGACGGCCAGATCAAGTTATACTGCAAAGGTGCTGACACGGTAAGTGGCTCTGTGCTTTTGTCTTAGCTTGTAAGGAACACAGAACTATTGAACAGAGAAGTGACCAAGGTGTGGTAGGGTGGTAAGGCCATGTTGAGAGAAAGAGAAGTGAAAGAGTGGTAAACAAGTGTATAATTTAGAGATGGATGGTAGGAAGGAGAGAGGAAGACAAAGGAGTAGATGGAAGGACATGTTGAAGGAAATACCAGAAGTGAGGAGGATGGAAGTCTCGGAAACAGTAAAGCACATGATGATAGGAGAGTGAGTGGTTCTGGGGTGTCACAGTAGCTAGAGGGAATGGGAAAAGGTGAGAGTTTGAGTAGTGTTTTAACTCTTGATTGTGGCCACCAGCAGCAGAGAAGAGATAGGCTTATAAACAGTAAAAGAAAAACTGGAGGTTAATAGCAAGCAGAGGGTGTTTTGAACTGATGGAGGATATACTGTACTCAGGGGCTAGGAGTTTCACAAAATGGTATTCAGGGGATATGAATGAATTTTGATTGACAGAAGTTTGACAATATGGAATACTGTACCCCCAAAAAAAATACATGGGCCCTGGCAGATGGCCTCGTCTTTTAACAAATATATTTTATACTTTCAGGTAATCTATGAACGTTTAGGTGACAGTCAACAGTTCCGTGACTTAACGGTGAGACACTTGGAAGAGTTTGCAGCAGAAGGTTTACGAACTCTCTGCTACGCTGTTGCCGACATATCACCAGAGTTTTATGAGGTATGTAGTGTGTTATTTCTTATGGAAGCGTATACATTTCATCATCATCGTCACTGATTTATGGTCATTTCTGTCACTAGTGTGGGTCAGCTGTGATTATCATGTAGCATAGTTGTCTCAGTTACCATGAATTTTGTGCTGACCTTTTCATTAACCATCACCTATATTATTGACAAAAAGCTTTCATCATTAATAAACAATCATCTGACACAGAGTCTCTTGGTGCAATAGCCAGTCATTCAACCATTATCAGGATGCTGCCGAATAACCCAACGTTGACTTGTAGATTCTGCAAAGTTTATTTATACCCTTAACACGAAAGGTTCAAAGGTGGTGGGGTCGTGGTGATGTCTGTCTGTTCATCTATCCTTCTATATTAAGTAAAATTCATTTGGTGTGAGTTATAGAGCTAAGTCACATTCTTGTAAACTCAATGAACCTTCTTCCTTCTTAAGTACTGTAAGAGGAAAAAATAGTAATAAATAATGAGCGACAAAATTTTACACATACAATACTAAACTCTTTCTGATGCCTTAAATAAATATTACTTCTCAGGAGTGGAAAAATACGTACTATAAGGCCAGTACAGCGCTGCAATTCCGAGAAAGAAAATTAGAAGACGCAGCTCAGCTTATAGAGAACAACCTTACGTTATTAGGAGCTACCGCAATAGAAGACAGACTCCAGGATGAGGTAAGGACGAATGGCGAGGTACGAAACGTCACATCGTCTATACTTGTTTTGTGTTTTGTCTCAACATCCATACACCGTCGGGAGATAACGCACAGCACCATAGATAAGATTAAGGACGAAATAGTAAGAAGTTATATAACATTGGCGATCACATTCTTAATTAATGTGAGGTAAAGGAAGTAACGTTTGTGATATTGTAACATTATTGACTACTTTTGATGTTTAACTTCACATTAGCCTAACTTAATTAAACCAGTTGGATGATCTTGTAGCCAAATCTCAATATTAACTTTGTAATTTAAATTAAGGAATGTTCTAAAATCCTCCTTTAGTTCATTTGTGATTCTACTTATGAGGGTTTAGTATTTAATTCTACCCACTGACCACAAGTATAGTTTAAGTAAGCAACGTTTAAGTAGAAGCCGTTGTGTATTCAAACCTTGCTGGATGTGTAGGTGTATGTGAAGACAGGAGTGTGCTTCAGCTTTTCTTCATTAAAAGGCTCGAGACTGATAAAATTAAAGGAAAAACAGGTCAAAATTGAACACAAGTTATGCCAGTGATTACGTCACTCTGGAACTTTTCTCTACAGGTGCCAGAGACCATAGCAGCTCTGCTTAAGGCGGGGATCCATGTGTGGGTCCTCACTGGAGACAAGCAGGAGACAGCCATTAATATAGGTCATTCGTGCCATCTGCTGAATCAGGGCATGCCGCTTATCATACTCAACACAGAATCTCTAGATGTAAGTATTGCACATCTGCTTATTATAAAGTAGACCCTTGCTTTCCAGTGTTTTATAGTTCAAGGTTCATTCCCTCAATAAAATAAGTAAATAAATGGTTGGAGATAAAAAAGAGTAGCTCTATATTACATAAACAGCTCCTTCCTTTCTTGTAATCATCCTGTGGGTGACACCGTAACACCAGCTGTTTGACAAGGAGGGGTGTGGTCATGGACTTAACTTGCTGTGTGAGGGTTAATTTTCCTCATAATGACACTTAATTCTCCAACTTCCCTCCAGGAAACTCGAGATGCTATTAACCGCCATGTGGTCGAATTTGGTGAGCAGCTGAAGCGCGAGAACGAAGCTGCCTTGATTATCGATGGAAAGACACTCATTTATGCTCTCACTCCTGATTTACGGAAGGACTTCTTAGATCTCTGTATATCTTGCAAGAGTGTTATATGCTGCAGAGTGTCACCTAGTCAGAAAGCTGAAGTGAGTGTTGCATTGGTTTTCTTACCCCTTTCACTATGGGGACACCACTTTTACTGTCTTATTTAGCTAATGACAGACGATTTTATTGAGCGCAGAGGTGACTCCATACACAAGGGGTTAACTCACCAGTTTATCTCTGCTGCAGTAGTGCTCTGTAATCTGATCCTCAAAATCCAAATAACATTGTTAGGAGCTGCCATAAGTCATCACTGATAATAGGAAATTAATGTTAGTACCAGTAGCTAGATGACATTTTAACCTTTAACCAAATAATATCACAATATGTCAATGATAATCTTAACTGCTGAACAAGAGTAAAAGGAGATGCCTTACATTTTCACCCATACACTTGTGTCTTTAAGTCTGTGTTTCTTTATTCTCATTGCCCAATTAAGTATGCGTGCTGCTTTAACAAGTCTAATCTATCCTTTTGGGACAGACCCATACCAAAGATGGGAGATATTTGAAACAGTTGTAGGTTATACTGTAAGGTCTGGGATATAAATATTACCTTTATTGTTGAGAAGTAAAGCTGTGCCATGCTATGAGTCAGCTTCTTTCGTGATGAGGCTGGTGACTGATGTTATTGTTCTGTGTACAGGTAGTTGAATTATTGACTCGTGAAACGGGCTCAGTCACACTTGCCATTGGTGACGGAGCTAACGACGTGGCCATGATTCAGAAAGCCAACGTGGGTGTTGGCATTGCTGGACTGGAAGGTCTTCAGGCTGCATGTGCCTCAGACTATGCTATTGGTCAGGTAAGAGTTGTGCTTTGTGGTTTATCAAGTGTTTTTATAATTTAAAAAAAAGTTAATTGTTTTTACATTAATACATCCATAAATTTGACAAGATATGTAAATTCTTGTTTTGCAGTTTCGTTTCCTGGCGAGATTGTTGTTTGTGCATGGAGCTTGGAACTACAGTCGCCTCTGCAAAGTCATCTTATATAGCTTTTACAAGAATATTTGTCTGTATGTCATTGAGCTGTGGTGGGCGGCCATGTCCGGATGGTCGGGTCAGGTGTTGTTTGAGCGATGGAGTATAGCCATGTATAATGTGGTGAGTATCTCTTATTATCTCTCTCTGTTATCTTTCCTGTTACTAGAGATGCATTTTTCTTCTTCCTCATTCTTCACTAGAGCTAACAGTGCCACCCTTTCTACTTTTTTCAAGGAATTTATCTGTTCTTTCACTGTGCTTATAGACAAAAATCTTTCACCTCTTTGTCATGATCAATGTCGTTCTCATTAATGTTCCATGTATTAGCATAAACTGGTAAATTAGTTTTTTATCTCTTTATTATGTCTGTGTTACCTCATTTCCGTTTGGAACTCTCAGTTGAGGGGTGACTGCGGTATAAGAATCTACAAATACTTCTACTCCTTGAAATTGATGTTTATGGTGATTAACAGAAATATCATCTTGATTCACTCTCTACCTGGTTTAATATTATGGGTGAACCAGATTACCATTTGTTTAGATCTTAAGAAATAAATGGAAATAATATAGTTTGTCTTGACTAGTATTCACAAGTCGAAGCCAGAGGATGGGAAGCTAAAGTAGAAATGTGTAAGTAAGAGAGACAGATGTAAATATTGAAATAGTATATCACTGATTGTGATGATGGGAAAAATTTGTGTGCAGGTGCAGGGTGAGATTGGCCCATGAACCAGCAATAGGAAAATAGACAGAACATTTGTGGGATGGCGGCAAATCGGCCCTGTCGTAGATGGCACCAACTGAGGGTATCTTGGGATTATATTACAGAAACATTCACTCAGAGGTAGTACAGGAGTGTTGTTTCCTAAAATTTGTAACACTTGGAGGTGGGTGTCAGTCATATACATGTTCATAGCAGTGTCACATTAACAAATTGCTCTCTTCTATTACTGTAGTCAGGCCTGGCACAATTCCTGTAGTCACTTCTGGCCCTTAAACGAGTAACCAGCATATCTAAACTCCCTTAATTTCTTGAGTAAGTTCCACCACTTGACACATATGACAGTTTCAAGGCACTACTAATTCTGTGCATCCAATTTACCTCATTTACTGCCCTCAATCACTTAATTTTCTGTTACCTATAATTTATACTCCCTCCTCTTACATCCAGAGTTCCATTCTGCACACTGGTATGATAATGTTGGCTCCACTAACTCTCTCTACATCCCCAACTTTGCTTCCTCTGTCATGTATCCTTCAATCCACCTTTCTTTTCATCTACTACACTATAATTCATCGCTCATCAATCCATTTACTGACACATTCACTCCCAGATGCCTGAAACACTTCACGTCCTTCAATCTAACATTTAATTCTCCTTGTCTTTTTTTTTCAATTTATTTTAATGTCTTTATTTTTACCTTCATCATCAGCTTTTTTCCTAGTACACAGTCCTCCAAACTCATTTTCTGATATAAATAATTTTTCTTCCAAATTGCCCACTAAAACAGCATCATCTACTAACATCAGTTGACTCACCTCCCATAGTCTTTCTATATATCATTATTTTGTCAAACTTGCACCTCTCTCTATCACTCTTATTTTCACCTGTTACTCACCCATCAAGAGAAATATTAAGCAGCCCTGTGTATGTTTGTCCATAAATACTTTTAATGAATATATTTGTGATGATGATAATGCTCATTTAGAACATTGTCTCATTAGCTGCATTTTTTGGATATAATTTTACTAACATGTAACTTTTTATTATGGCGGGAAACTCACGATCTAAGTTTTCCTTCTTTGTTAACAGCTATTCACCGCTGCTCCTCCCTTGGTGATGGGGATATTTGACCGGTCGTGTAGCGCAGAGACGAGGATGAAGTACCCGGAGCTGTACCGTGAATCACAGAGTGGATCACATTTTAACTGGAAGGTGAGATACAGAGATACAGTATTTGCAAATCTTATACACTGCAATATGACTTTCTGTTTGATCTTCAACATAAATCAAGGAGACAAAAATATGAGGTGAAAAAGGTGTCTTGGATAGCACCAGTTAATGTGTAGCAGTGAGGGTGTACAGTACAGTACTATAGATATACATATAATGACATAGATGTTTTTATGGCAAGTTGATTTCATGTACTGTACTTAGGGGAGTGTTGCAGAGAGTGTTGGGTTATTACTGATGTTAGGGACAGGTGACATTGTATCCAGATAATTTATGTGAAGAGATTAATGGCTTGAATGATTTTTTTTATTTATTTATTATTTTTTATGTTGGTAGTCTTGAATAACAATAGAGAACACTTTTATACATATATTTAAAAAAAGAAGTTTATGCCATTGTGAACATAATGTCCTATAACAGTGTACATTACTTTTGACAGGTGTTTGTGTGGTGGGTTTGGCTGGCGCTGGTACATTCAGTTTTGGTATTTGTCCTGCCCTATCTGTCCATGACCCAAGACGTAGCGTGGGGTCACGGTCGCGTAGGAGGTTACCTCATGACGGGCAATATGGTGTACACCTACGTAGTTATCACCGTCTGCCTTAAAGCAGGTCTGGAGACCGACGCATGGACGTGGGTCACGCACCTCGCCATCTGGGGCTCCATTGCTTCATGGTTTATTTTCCTGCTGGTGTATTCAAACTTTTGGCCGATTCTGCCCATGGCTCCTGACATGTGTGGTATTTATCTGCAGGTAGGCTGCTTATGGTCATCTTATAGTTCAGTTAACATAGTCTCTTCCTTAAGGGTTGAGATAACATAGTTCAGTTAACATAGTCTCTTCCTTAAGGGTTGAGATAACATAGTTATCCCTCAGCCTTGAAGGATTCTTGTAACTATGCTTAATAGATCTTAAAAATATAAAAAATTTAGAACTCTACGGATCAGTCTTTTTGAAGAGAATAAAATTGAAGAGGTCTCGGCCAATGCACAAACTTTTAGTTGACTGTAGATAACAGTGAAGGATTTTTGACAAATTCATGTGGTCTTGGCCTTGTGGATAATGTGGATGAGCAAAAATTATCATTGGTATAGAGACTGAAAGGCATATTTAGCAACTTTAAGGAGGATTATGTGGTGGTGTGACAAACATGCCTGAATTAACATTAAGCAAAAATATGATTATTGAGAATTACAGTGAACATCTGTAACTGAGACACAGTGCGAGCATTTACTGAACATGATCTTGTTCTCTTAAGAAAATGAGCTTGACTGATGGAGACAATATACATACCTGGTATATATTTCAGTGGGATACCTTATGTGTTTTAGAAACTTATTTGTGAGAGGAGAATAAGCCCAGGAGACCTAAAAGGATTTCTTACTTAACTGAGTATATTTTATTGGAGGTGGCTGGCTGAGAAGAACTGCCATGCTTTCTTATGACAAACATTTGATTATAAGTTTATTTCTTGATTTATATTAATAATTTAATAATACCCTGTTCATTCAGTCTTATGTGTGTGAAGATTCTTACTCATCCCTCCTTTCCATTTTGGTAATAGGACACAAATTTGGTGATTAAAATACACTGATTATTGAATTGAATCTTTTTCAGGTCTATTCATCTCCGGTCTTTTGGTTCGGAGTGATCCTCATACCATTGGCTTGCCTCTTACCAGATATAGTTGTCAAAACGTGAGTCCCAGAAACAAGTTTTTATCACAATATTGCCTTTAGAGTTTTCAGATTCTGTTAGAGGTTTTGAAATAATTATGCCTTGTAATAGTTTATAATGGATAATGGTAATATATCGGCGACCTGTGGTGTAATGGGCAGCATGCTCGCATCGCAAGCGAGCGGACCCGGGTTTGATCCTTGGGCAGGGGGAAACTATGGACAAGTTTCTTTATGCTATTTGCCTCTGTCTACCCAGCAGTAATTGGGGACCTGGATGTTAATCGATTTGTGGATCGTATTCTGGGGTAATGGTTAGCCAGTGCAGTTGGTGAGTTGTCCGGTCCTCTCAGACTATTCCTTAACACTGGGTCATGTAACTCGTTAACTTAGGGTGTGGCTGTTGTGTTGGCGACAGCTTCTACACCTTAAACAAATTCACGCCTAGGTGGCCCTTGGGCCGACCTTCCTCGTTACACGAGGGGCAACCATTAATGGTAATATTAATATGGGATGCAAAAGAGGAGTGGATGTAGCACTGTCCTCCTGAACCGAGTCATTGGTGTGAGAAGTCCGGCAGTTGATCCAGATACAGAATGAATGTCTACAGTTGTAGTTGGAGGAGTGAAAGCCAATCCATTTCACCTCCTTGTGTACTTAAGTTTTAGTCATCAATGTCCTGTGTACTGCCTTTAACCCCTTCACTATGGGGATGCCACTTATAATATGTTATTTGGTTATTGCCAGACGATTTTATTCAGCTCGGAGGCGAACCCCCAGACACAAGGGGTTAATGGCTATTGATGTACATTTTTCCAGATGATGTTAAACTTATTTAAAGGGTCAGTGAATTGTGCTACAACTGGTTTCTTGAAATAAAGTACATATTGATGTCGCAGCAGTAGCTATTAGGATGCTGTTAAAGTCTGATAATAAGAAGAATATAGGTCTAGGAAGAAGATTGATAGAGTAAGACAGTGTTGATGAAGTATTTTTAACTATTCACTTTCATAACTTAGTGGTTGATGATTTGAAAATACTTAAAAAAAAAAAGGAGTGATGATAATGTGTATTGAAAATGGAAAGTGAGGAGGCCAGTGGTAGTTAGGATTGGAAATGAGAAAGTTGTGGAATGGGTGTGAAAGTGTGATTGGTTGGTTGTCTGTGTACCAGAGGATTGGATAAAAGCAGTCATCATGACGTTGTGTAGAATGACCAGGGTGACTGTGTGTTTACAGCGACTGAGGTATGATCATGGCTATGGGGTGAAGGTGACATAAGAACAGTGTATTGGTAATTGAGGTACTGTATTTAGTAAACATAGATTTGATGAGATAATATAGAAGTGTCATGAAGTTTTGTATGTACACCATGTGTCCCTTAAAGAGCGTGATGCTATTCTTTATATTTCAGAATACGTAACTCGATCTGCAAGAGTTTAACAGAACAAGTGCGTGAGAGTGAGATTAGCAACAAGGATGTTTCCAAAGTTCTAGACACCAAGCACAGGTAAGCGAAGATGGCTCACCGTCACCCTCTCCTGCCCTCCGTCCCCCTGGTCCTCCGCCCTCCCAGCCCCAAAATCGTCTTGCCTCGTCACCTACAAACATGATACAGGTCCACCCTGCTTGCCTCACCGCTCCAACTCACTGAGGATGTAGGATCCATCTGGCTATTTAGCCCACTCAACCTCCCTGCTCAAATGATCCATTTGTGAGCCTACCCACCCAGCCCTCCCCGTCTGCTGAATGCCCATCCTTACTTTTGGGCCGGGGTGGTCGGCCTTGTCTCATCCACTTGGCCTGTCCACCTGACCTGTCCACTCAGCATGCCTGGCCTGCAGCCTCCCCTTGTTAATGGATATTTGTAGTGCATCAACCAAATGTTTTTCTGTATTAGTTCTCTTTAAAATGTTAATGGTTGCTACCCTGAATGTTGTTCACTTGTAATAACTGAAGCAGGGCTGATGCACTTGATGGGTTTAACAGCAGCAAGCAGTTAACAGTATCCCCAGTAAGCTTGTTTCAGCTGCAAGGCAGATATGTAGGACGAGAGTATATTTGCCAGTTGCTTGTTTTTTATTTATACTTGGCTGCCTCGTTATTGGAACTTTAAAGTTGAATCACCTGTGCCAAAGAAATAGGACCAATATTTGCATCCAAGTCTCAGCTCTGCACTGGAAGCTTTGTGAAAGGGAGCATTTGTGTATTTGAGGCAGAGCTGGGACACAGCTTTGATATAAAAATATCCTTTTAAAAAGTTGATAATGGGACTGGCAAACTCCACCACTGCACTCATGCATCCATGATAAGCTTGGCTATAGGTGTCTGTGTGTATGGTTGCTGAATTAATATTATCAAATGTGCACCACAACACCTTCTTCTGGATGTTTTAATGTTGTAAGAAATGGATAAATGTACTATGTAGATTACTGGAATCTAAGTAGTTTTAGCATGAACATCTAGTCAGCATATACTTAAGGCCTTAGCATTGTGTCTATTGAATCGATTGTATTCTCTGGTCACTGTTTTTGCAGTTGTCATTATTTATTATTATAAAGTTTTGTGATTTGCTGCCAAAAAAGATATATCCATCCATTTGATTAATCAGATAAATTTAGTTGAGTTTTAGTTACAAACATTAGATCTTGTTAATCAATTGAATGGGTATATTTCTACCAACTTTTTTAGTATTATAATCATAATTCTTGAATCCTAGAAGCATGGAAAGCTTCAGCATATTTTTTACATTTTTTAAATACCTCAAAAAGTATTTTGTGTCTGTAGATTACTGTAGGGTATTAAGAACTGCAGAGTTTAGAATCCATTTTTATAATTCTCAGATACACTGTAGTATACTGTATAGATGATGTTTGTGAAAAGGAGTTTTAAGTAGCTTTAGGTCGGTATTAATTGCTGTAAGTATTGGAATAAGTTGAGAAGTACTTTATGAATGTTGATAATGTGTAGATTGTTGCTGTGTAATGCTGCTTAACCACAGATCAACCTGTTCTACCTTCATTATTTCCCTTAGTAACTCGTGATTGCTTCCCCATCTCTGTCCTGACCTCTGTCTTACAGAACTTAACATTTGCCTACAATGATTATTCAGATGTTTTATGCTGGAAAATTTTATTACACCAAAATCTCTTGGCAACATACTGTATAGTAAGTGACTCAGCACAACAGTGTATCATTTTTATTATTGTAAAGCAGAAAGTGTCCCATCACAGCAGTTGTCTTTATGGTTATACTGTACAGCTACAAGTGTTCCAGCATGGTCCTGAACCTCGTTGAGATTTTACTGCTGTAAGTGTCCCACCCAGGACTGTATGTCATTATTATTGTACAGCTGCAAGTGTATCAGTTGAGCACATCATTATGGTCATACAGTCATTGTCATAGTACAGTACAGTATCAGCACATTCTTATACAACAAAATGTTGTATGCCTGCAGGTGTGTGAGCCCAACAGTTTGTACAGTTTGTCATTTTGAAGTAAATTTTCTGGATTAATGATGAAATATGATGTTTAGGAAATTGAATACTTGCAAATACTGTACAGTATATTATTGTCAAGTGAGTTTTGTGCAGCCTACCACACCTCTTGGGGGCTGTGAGCAGGACAGTGTTGTTGCCACCTTGCAGTTATGTGCAAATGTGCATAACAAGAAGTTTATTGCATTTTTTTACATCTTTGTCTTATATTTTGCCATTACTGGCAGTTATGTTTGTTGTGGAAAAATGACACCAAAGCAAGTCTCAATTAGTCCATCGAATTTATCATTTGACACTTTCTAATTTAATTTACCACACACTTTCATCAAGTAAAAATTGGTGAATTAGTTTCTTATTAGAAAGCTGCAGTTCAGTATTGACATAGAACATTGCATGAGTGTTGGGGGCAAGAGAACTGGCATAGTTTAAAAACTCTGCAGCTTCTCTTTGTTGCCAAGTGGACCACACAGATGACAAGGACTCCACCTTCTTCAAACTGTCAACATGAATTGGGTGAACCTAATTGAAAACAAATGGACACAGAATGTATATCAAGACTGAAGAACATTATACAGTACAGTATATACAAGCAGTCATTTATCTGAATACTAACCAGAAAAAACAGATACTCGAAATTGATAGAATCTAGAGCTTAGCATCTGGTACAGTATACAGGTATGTATGTACTGTACTCAGCTCATATATCCATGGATGCAGACTTACTGAAAGAAAAATAATTCAGTGAAGTAAATACTAATATAGTTAAAAGGATTCCATGAACTTCGAGGAAAGGTGTAGTTAGAGCTGCATCTAATGTGGCATGATATTGATTTTTGATTGTTGGCATTGGTCACAAGTTGAGGCACCTGCTTAGTTTTTGTCGAGAGAGTTGGATAGAAATAAGTTGTCGAGTCTTGGCTGTCACAACATGCCATCACAGTACAGTACTTGATCACTGTTGCAGAGCTTTAAGTGTAGTACACGCTCGCTGTTATGTTTTCCAGATCCACACTAAAAGATGAAAACTTAAGAGTGTATTTTGATAATATAGATTAGAAACTTATAAATTATTAATACAGTTTAGATACCCACGGTCATCAGAGCTGTTGTGTTGAAGTAGGAATTTTCATCTTATAATGTGGATATTATTTACAAAGGGGTTATTTATCACTTCATCGTTGAACCTTCCAAGTAACATTGATCACAAGTTCCCAGATGAGGACATAGTGTATACTTAGCTGACACACACATACACATATGTATTTTCACTAGTGTCTCTGAGGAAGTCTTTATTTACACTGCCAGCTTTTACATACACTCATTGACTGGTACTGAGTAAGTTTATGATCATGGAACTTATGTAAGATAAATATATGAATCTGTAAAAGGAACAGCACCCTGGATGACTGTACAGTACAGTATACATTAGGTAAATGTAGCTTAGTATTGTCCTTTGATTTTTGCATTGTATATACTTGAACTAAATTTGCGTTTATCTGCTGCTTATTGCATTAAAAAAATCACTTGGGAATTTGTCGGTGTATACGCTGCTCTGTGTTGGTAACAGAGCCAGCAGCATAACCAGAAAAGTGTGCTGCTGTGAAGCCACACGCTGATAGCTTTTAAAGAAACAATATTGACAACACATATAATGAAATTGGTAAAGTTAAGTACATGTTGATGGTTATTTCTGGTGAATTGGAAAATACTTTATTTGCTGTGAGGAGAAAATTAGTTGTTGTAGCCTTTTGGGAGGACTGAGAGGAGTTTTTTTTTATTATTATTATTGTTATTATTATTATTATTATTATTATTATTATTATTATTATTATTATTATTATTTTTATTATGGTTGGCATTATCTGTCTGTCTGTTTGTAAACATTTTGGTTTCATACCTTAACCTAACCATAAGAGGGAGCTGCCTTAAACGACACACAAAAATGACGAAGGTTAAAATCCCCTACAAGTATGTAAGGTTCAAAATGAGCACCGGTTATTAGAGCTACGGAAGACTTTGTGGTCGGAGATGCTACTTACAGATTTCCTCTCATTTGTGGTTTGAATGTTTACATGATCATCTCTACAGTGCAGCTTCTTTTGTTGGCACTTGAATGTAGCAGTTCAGGAGTAGATGGAGGATAGGTGTAAGTAGTACAGTATACAGTTTCTTGTATACTCAGTGAGAAAAGTCATTATTATACAGTACGTCTTTGGATGCTTTCAGGTTTTTTGGGGGAACAATTTAGCTAATGCCAGTGTACAAAACCTGGAGAGTTATTTTGGTTATCCTTTTAGTGTACAGTACAGTATAGTCTGCATTTACGCGGTCAATTGAACCCATGGAGGCCCGCGTAAAACGAGAAACGCGTAAATGAAATTACAGAACATATGGGATTAATTGAAATAGAGACTGGGCCGACCCCCAAACTCCACTTTTTCCGACACAATACCTACGTTGTAGTAAAAATAATATCTTAATTTTATGATGGTATGCACACACAATTAATAATTAAGAGAAATATCATTAATATTAGGTTTTCTAACACTTACGTTAGTAGAAAAGCTGGGTCGGCACACATGGATGGCGGCTGGTTCCGAGGCAGAGGGCAGATTAGTTGCCCTCCGGTGAATCACTTTCACTTTCACTACTCAGAGGTTTGCAGGGCCTCCCAGACAAACCTCTCAAAGTCCATATCCTCACTGTCAATATCACTATCACTGACTTGGGCTGGCTGTGGTTGGTTGCGGGCGAGGAAGTCCTCAATACTACGTTGACGACTAGCATTGATGTTGTCGAGTTAGATCTGGATATACGACTCCATAAATTTCGTCAGATGGTTATTAGACACTTCATACCGATGCTTGTCTGGGTCGTTGTTAAGGATGAGCTTAAGTTTCTCCCCCAACTCGATGATTTCCTTCACATTATCATGGCTTGGTCCAGATAATTCAATGTTTTTCTCTGGTGGTGGGGGTCCCGCGGAAGCCATTGTGAGTTGTGAGGGGAATAG